AATGCTAATTCCAAGGACTCAAGGCTTAGGGTTTCATTGCTTCGTGTGTCTTCATTTCTAGGAACCCATAAGTCAATGTGACTCCCCTCCCCCCCTTTTTTTGTCCTGCTCGCCGAGGGAAGCAGCTCGCTTGAACAATCTCTCTCTTATTCTCTTAGCTCAGCAATTCTTCGCTCTGGTTCATTTCACCTTCATTTTTTTCTCTTCCTGGATTTGTTAACTTACAACTGTTTTATTTGCCGTTCATTATAGCTTTCAGTTATTGCTTTAATTATTATTCCTCTGAATCTCCCTGTCAGTCCTACCTCGTCTGGTGTAGCTGGCGCGTCATAAAACGCATGAATAAATAAATAAATAAATATGTAGGGTAACGGCCTAGGAAGAGATCTCGCTTCCTCCAATTACATGAGATGTAATCCGATCAACTTCACTGTAAAAAAGATGACACTAGTGGGTAGAAACCCTACCAAAGCGAGACTTAAACCCTTTTTGATGGTCTTGAGAAACCGTACTTATGTATTACCGTTCCAGGTATTCAATTTCTCAATGGTGCGTCTACCATGCCTCAAAGAAGTGTCGGCGCAATAAGCCAACAAAGTGGTCGCACAGTTGATTCGGTCTGCGTGCGGGGAAGGTGAAGTACCAAGTGGAGCACAACCCTGCACGCATGATTTAGGGATAGAATGTAGGATGGTACTCGACAAGGAAAACCAAGCCTCACATCCCTCCGCAGTTGGTTATGTAGTCCCAGACCTTGTCTGGGAGGATAAAAGCACTGACTTGTACAACACCTGGGCACAATAAGTGATTGTGTAGGTAAAATACACACCCAAACGCCTTCACAATTCTTAATGTAAGCAGAATGCGCTGCGCACCCCAAAAAAAGGTTTGCCCAGCGTAGAAAGACTTTATTTCCCAGGTTGCATCTGGGATATGTTACTACTATGAACTAACCTGGTGGAGATCCAGTGATGAAATTCACCCGTTCCTCTCTACCATAGCCTTTGGATGTTTTTGCACTTACAAAAATCTGAATCATTTTTATATGCTGGCAAGAGCAACACCGAAATCTATCGCCTTGACTTCTCGTAGATTACCTCATAACTTGTATTAGGGGAGTGTAATTTCAGATCGTAAAATTGTCCACACTCCTCTACCGCGAAAAGACTGTATTTAGAATCTGAGGTTTTCCATCGAATCTGCAATAATTGCCTGAATTTTGGGAAACCAGCAGATAGTTCACGCAAGTCTGGCCGGCCACAGTCAAGCAAGAGGATGGCGAGAAGAGTTGTGTAGTGTAAACGAGATGATGACAAATATGAGATGACACCAGATAATCAAACGGGATCCCTTAGACATACGGTGCATCAAGGGACAGTAATATCTAAGCCCATTCGGTTCGAGTGAAGAAAAAGAAGACATCTCTAGACAGCCAGGACTAACAGCTAACAGCCTGAATAAGCCGTAGACTTCAAAAACAGACTAAATATCCAAACAATTGTATGGATAAAGTGGTGCTCTTTTGCTGTCATAGCCTTGCCGTTAAGAAGGTACCCTCGAAGGCTTACAGCCATCTCTCCTGCACATGAATCAGGACGACACCACAAGAGGAAAAATCTTGAAAAGTCCCTATCTCGTTTAATGATTCTCGAATAAATGATTCAGTGAAAACCACGGGAGGGGTGCTTGTTGTTGCTTTTTGATTGTTCATTGTAAGTCTTACTCGGATCACTCGAAAAAAATTAAGATGAAGAAACGGACCCTATACTCTTTTAGAGGACCGTTTTTCCTTTTGGGAGGTTCCCATTTGACGCGTACAGCAGCATAATCCGTCGACAATTCAACGGTGGGTCGCTGCTGAAAATTAGCATTGTTCGACACTACAAACATTTCCTCTGTGTGCAATCGTATGGACCAGGACACTAGAACTACAAGCTTACATTTCTGCCTACAGTTAGTTGAACTCAATCCCTCTTACAAGTTATTTTCAGCCTCCAAATACTGTTAAATGGTGCTCAATCGATTGCCTTTTTGATGGGATACTGTTTTATGGGTAACTTACAGGCAAGGCACTTATGAAATAGAATAGTTGGCAAGAAAACCCCTATGAACTACATAGTAAGAGGCAGTTCAGGGGCGGGAGTTCCTGTGAAGGCGTGGTTTCCTAGAAAAAAAAGCAGGAAAAGACGCCCTAACAGGAACGCCCGCCCCTTGGACAGCGTCTACGAGCAGCTAACGCCTCAAATGCTATGCTGTACTCCTATGCCTATGATGACAAGGTCCTCAGGATCACACTGGTTCGTGAAAGCCACTGTCACGACATAAGAGACAGGATATTTCCTGGTTCTCTATAATTTGAAGTCTAAAATAATGCCAAAAATGGGAACTATCGAAAGAACGCTGAAGAAATAAAATAGACAATGATCAAACATTACCAATTTACTCGTCAAAAGTTCAGCTTCAAGTTGTTCAACTTTAGTTGGAATGAATTCTCCTGTAAAGAACGCTGCAGGATTGGTCCATATTACTCTCGAGTTATTTCCCAGAATTTCCATCGTTAGTTGGAACAAGTATAACTCTGAATTTTAACGATATCCCGATGCTCCAAATTTGATTGTTCAGTGATTACCGAAAAATTCAAGGAGTTCAACCCGAATTGGTAACTGCTTTTCGGTACTATCAAATGTTATCTTTTCTGAAGCTGGAAGATAATGTGGACCATAGTAGAACTGAAAATATCAATATTATTGTTTTTACTATTATTGTATACTAGTACTGAAAGGCTTTATTGACATTCTTTTTTTTACTGGAGCATTAGGTTGAGTAAAAAGTTTTGATCGACCTTCGTTCCTTTTTTCGTAGGACCGTTCGGAAGGACTTCGTAATGGGTTATGGTAGACCGATCCCTAACCTGTATTTTTAAAAGGATATATAAGCATCCCCTTGGAAGTGCTTCGCAAAAATGACTTCAACCTTAAACTGGCGTCCGAAGCTGTCT